CTGCTGCCGCCGGCCAGGGACCCGCCAGCATTTGCGGTCAGCAAACATCCCCCCCCACCCCCTCCGAACCCGCGTCCTGTCGTGCTGCTTTCATAGCCCTCACTGATGCTGTCACCAGCGCTGCAGGAAGCAGTCACGATGCAGATTTTGCAGCTTTACCCTATTATTTTAACTTGGTAACGACACCAGTTAAGGATTACAAGCGAAACAAGTTGTCTCACCACACACGCTAGCTAAAAACTACAGGGCGAGAACAGAAAACTACGGCAGGAAAATTCTTTGAATATAAGGAAGCCAAACTCACATAATTTACAGAGTTACAGCTTGATCCTCAGCTGAGACTTTCTCTAAAACCCTGCCCTGCGTCAGAGGAGCTGCCTTGGGAGGGACTGATACGCAAGAACAACTCGCTGTTAAGGAGACTTCCATGAAGGCACGGCCGAGTGCGAGATAAAGATAAAAAAGTGCAGCAGTAAAAATAATGTCACGTTACTAAGGCACGCGCTGGCATTCTGATAAAAGGGGTTTATATATGAAAAGAATGTCGTACGAATCGTCTTTCTAGAAACCGAACCTAACTTAGAACTAAACAAAATCCCCTCCGCCATTGTTCTTTAATGAAAATACTTGTTTTAAAGGTGGCTTTTTATGTAACTCTCTGGTGTATCTGGTGTCTGCGCTGTCCCTCATCCTTCCCTAACCAAGTGTTTTGACATATTTCCAAGGAAAATAAGAATAATGGATCTGGTATCCTGTGTTTCATTTTTAAAAAATCGTTTTAAAATACAGATTTTTCATCCCTCAGAGGAAGGTTTCTGATCTACATGGCAGTACTCAGGCTTCTCCTTCCCCAGCTGAGATATATGCTAAGAACAAAAGGGAAGCGTATCCGGTGCCAGCGGCAGCAAGCGCCTGGAGTGCCCCTGCTCCCCGCGTGCCGGGATGCGATACTTGTCGAGCCAAGGATCAGATCCCAGCTTGGTACTTGGAGATTCTGCTACGCCACTGAATCCCCTCCTGAAACGCGGGCTTTAAAGGACTGTGAGCTGCAGCTGATAAATTAAAATGATTTTTTTTTTTCTTCTCTCTATGAACATAAAGATCTTTTCTTCATTGCGGTTGTCATCTTCCACTCGAGTAAACGGTAAACTGAAATACAGTGAACCTTTCTGTCTGAAATGCTCCCGAGGATGAAGCAGGCAAACCCAGCAGGGAAGCGAGAGTGCTGCGTGCGTGCAGCCATTATTCAGAAGAAGCTGTCTGTTCACATCCCTCTGTGCCCGTCTCTTCATTTTAAAGACTAACTACTTCCTTCTCCTCCTCTCCCCCTAGAAGAAATGTTTTCTTCCCCATTTCTTTTAATGGCTAAGCAATGAAATAGCAAAGGTATTGAAACCCAGTCTACTGAATAATAACTTAATGATGTGAACCCTGTTCTGTTCCTTTTGAATGGATGGCTGCTTTAGTAAGAGAGCTGCTGGGATCTGCTCCCTGCTGGGAGGGATGTGAGGATGGAGAAACCTGGATTGAAGCTGAACAGCAACCAGAGTGGTATAAAACTGAACCAGAACACAAGAATGAGGTCAATGCTGCAAGACTGTGAAATAAGGAGAAATCATATGCAATTAAGCTAAGTTCAAGAACTAATAGTGAACACTTGTAGTATGTATTAACAAATGTTTGGAGTTGTCTGTTAACTCCATTATTGCTAATACCTGCTAGAACACTGCTGCGTCGAGCTGTGTTCAATTTGCATACTGAAGCGTGATGCAGCATGGCAGAGGTTAATGAAATACACTGGCGTAAAATCTTCACTGTGTGATTTCAGTATGTACAGTCATTCCCAGAACGAGCGGAAGCTGACAAATCATTCCTTCTAGTTTCACTTTCTGGCAAACATATGAAACCTTGAAAATTTATTTTGGCTATCTAGAAAAGCAGACTAAAACAACCACATTTATTTTGTTTGTATCTGATGTCACATCTGAATGCAGGTCTCCAGAGGTGATCTATTAATGTCCTAAAGCGTTGCACCATCTGGTTCCTCTTTTGATGCGCAGCATTTTGAATGCTTGGTTTAATCTCCCTGGGTTTCACTAAATTATGTAAACTCGGAGGCTTGGCAGCGGGAGATGGGCACCATGAGGAGATGATTCGGTCATCAATATCTATTGGGCTTCCTTATTGCTGCCATTACACTTCTTTCAGTTCTACTTATAAATTTTGCAAGTGAATAATTCATCGCACTTGGAGCTGCAAGTTAGTTTTGGAATTTGCCCACTCTGAGATTAGCTATGACTAATCCATCCCTTCCAAATGCCGAAAAGCTAACTCGGCTTCTTTTTTCCCGGGTTGGGTGATAAATCAGAAATAAATTGCACGTATATGTAACTGCTGATGATGACATAAATCACATTTCCTTTTTTCTTTCTGAACAGAATCGGAGCACCTTGGAGTAGATGTGAGTACAAGACTTTGCACCAGCTAAAGCTGCCTTGGAAAGCCATGGCTGCCGCCCCTCAGCTCAACTCGGATGCACTCCGGGAGGTCCTGGAGTGCCCCATTTGCATGGAGTCCTTCACTGAGGAGCACCTGAGACCCAAGCTCTTACACTGCGGGCACACCATCTGCAAACAGTGCTTGGAGAAACTCCTAGCAAACAGCATTAATGGGATACGGTGCCCCTTTTGCAGCAAAATCACGCGGATCACAAGCTTAGCTCAGCTGACTGACAATCTTACTGTGCTGAAGATCATAGACACCACCGGACTGGGGGAAGTGGTGGGTCTTCTCATGTGCAAGGTCTGTGGGAGAAGGTTGCCAAGACACTTTTGCAAGAGCTGTAGCTTGGTTTTGTGCGAGCCGTGCAAGGAGACATCACACATGTCCCAAGGGCATAGAGTCATTGCTATCAAAGAGGCTGCTGAAGAGCGTAGGAGGGAATTTGGGACGAGGCTTGCCAGACTTCGGGAGCTCATGGGTGATCTGCAGAAAAGAAAAGCATCTCTGGAGGGTGTTTCGAGAGACCTGCAATCTAGATACAAAGCAGTTCTGCAAGATTACAGCAAAGAAGAGCGCAAGATCCAGGAAGAACTGGCCAGGTCACGCAAGTTCTTCACCACCTCTTTGTCTGAAGTGGAGAAGGTAAATAATCAGGTAATGGAGGAGCAGGCTTATCTGCTGAACTTAGCAGAAGTGCAGATTATGTCTCGCTGTGACTATTTCCTAGCCAAAATAAAGCAGGGAGACATAGCTCTCTTGGAGGAGGCAGCAGATGAGGAAGAACCAGAACTGACAAACAGTCTCCCAAAGGAGCTGACTCTTCAAGAGGTTGAACTCCTTAAGGTGAGCCATGTGGGACCACTGCAGATCGGGCAGGTGGTGAAGAAACCCCGGACCGTTAACGTGGAGGAATCGCTCATGGAAACTGCAGCATCCTCATCGGCATCATTTCGGGAGCCTGACTTTGTGCAAGAAGAGGCCAGCTGCACACCAAATGCCTCACCAGCCAAGCCAAGGATGCCTGAAGCAGCCACGAGCATCCAGCAGTGTCACTTCATCAAGAAGATGGGCTCCAAGGGCAGCCTGCCAGGGATGTTTAATCTCCCCGTCAGCCTACACGTCACCCTGCAGGGCGAGGTGCTTGTGGCAGACCGAGGCAATTTCCGAATCCAGGTTTTTACCCGCAAAGGCTTTCTGAAGGAGATCCGCCGGAGCCCTAGCGGAATCGATAGTTTTGTACTGAGTTTCCTTGGGGCGGACTTGCCCAATTTGACTCCCCTTTCTGTCACCATGAACTGCCATGGCCTGATAGGCGTGACCGACAGCTACGATAACTCTGTCAAGGTCTACACCATGGATGGTCACTGCGTGGCGTGTCACCGGAGCCAGCTAAGCAAGCCGTGGGGCATCGCCGCCCTGCCTTCTGGGCAGTTTGTAGTGACCGACGTGGAAGGGGGAAAACTCTGGTGTTTTACAGTGGACCGCGGCGTGGGGGTGGTGAAGTATAGTTGCTTATGTAGCGCGGTGCGCCCAAAGTTTGTCACCTGCGATGCTGAAGGAACCATATACTTTACTCAAGGGCTGGGGCTTAACCTGGAAAACCGGCAGTACGAACACCATTTAGAAGGAGGCTTTTCAATTGGCTCCGTCGGCCCAGATGGGCAGCTGGGACGCCAGATTAGCCACTTCTTCTCTGAGAATGAGGATTTCAGGTGCATTGCTGGGATGTGTGTCGATGCCAGGGGAGACCTCATTGTTGCTGACAGTAGCCGTAAAGAAATCCTGCATTTTCCTAAAGGAGGCGGCTATAATATCCTAATCCGGGAAGGACTCACCTGCCCAGTTGGTATTGCCATTACTCCCAAAGGGCAGCTGCTGGTGCTGGACTGTTGGGATCATTGCATTAAGATCTACAGTTACCATCTGAGAAGATACTCCACCCCGTAAAGGCATGTCTCTCAGCAAAGCCTCTTTTGGCAGCAGAGATTCTTCCAGCCTCATTGCAATCTGACAGGAAACAATGTCAAGCGTTCAGAAAGATTGTGCCATAACCGAAGGGGGTTTGGCATAAAGGCTGTCGTGTTTTGTGTTTAGAAACAAAATAGCTTACGTGGTGGTGGTCTGCTTTTTCTTCTCTTTATAAAATCCATACGATAAGAAAGAACAAGCACGAGAGAAAGGATCTGTCCTTCTGGAGTATTGGTTCCTTGCTAAATGACTGGTCACTCCACTCCATAAACCTTCTCACCTCCTTACGCCACATCTCCTACACTTCCAGTTTCAACCATTGTATCTTTCTTTGTGCCATAAACCCTGACTGACTGCTCTAAATCACCTTCCCTTAGAGGACTAGAGAGGCAATCCTCTTCTCGCTGTGGTACTCGCAAAGAACTGGGTAGCAGTTGTCTGGGCAACTACTAGAGAAAGCAATTTCTGATTGCAGCACTGCATAAAATGAAATAGCCCTCTTAAACTGCGGGGAGATGGAGCTTTACTTTCAAACTGACGAGGGACGGTTTTCTCTCTCCGTTTTTCTGATATTCGGGAGATCGCCCCCGTCGTGCCATTTGTGAACCGTGTCTGTTCAATGTGAAGTGAGTACTGTGCAATCATGGGAGACCGAGCCAGAGAACTGCCCTCGGATGGCAACAGGGTTTTTATTACTACTAAGAGTTCTGATAGGTGGAAGGGGGTAAAAGGGAGGGGGCTGGAGGAAAAGAAACGAGGGGAAACCTATGGCTGATATTTACTGTTGTTTTATTATTAAATGTATCCTGGAAACTGTCCTTGGAAGGTACGTCTGGTATCTAAAGCTTCGTGGAGAGAGGGGGGAGGGCTGGGGGAATAAGACTGGGAGATTGTAGTGAATGAGATTAAATGCAATATATTGTATGTTCACCTGCACTTCACTATTCTGCATTCCAGACCATTGCATTTAGCAAGAGGTTTCCACCCATCTGCACTTTGTATGTGCAAGCTACTCACTGCTGAGATGGGATGAGGGGGGCTGTTTCGCTTTGATTTTTTTTAATACTTGGAAGCGTGTCCATTGGTGCATTGCCTTTTTTTTCCCTTGCACAGCAAAACACTACATTCCTCAGATTTTTTTTTTTTTACGGCACCAGCAGGCACCAGAGTTCATGTTCATCACGGCTTTGGGCCAAATGAAGCACAAAACTGCAGCTGTGTGAACCAAGGCCCCCACAGTGCTACTCTCCTGGCTGATAAATGTGTACCTCAGTGTGGTGCTGCTTGCCTAGAATAGTTTATTGAAGGAAAGATGCATTTAAATAGGGCACAGTGGTAGCATGTTAATCTGCCACAGATAATAGTTACACTGCAGTGCATTTATTTGTTGCTATCAACAATGTAGTTGCAAATTTGGGGGCACCACAGACAATATAAAAGCTGATTTTATGGTGGCTGCCATGTTACAGCAAATTGTTTGCTGCTTGTGCTACAACATGTATGCAACAGGTGATTTTTTTTTTTTTAAGCTCCTGTATACTTTCCCCTGGTGAAACAGCAAAGTAAAATAGGCTTCAGAGCCACTGCTGCTCCAGCCAGTTGTTTGGCAGTTACAGGGTTTGCAGAAGCAGTGCTCAGAGCAGATTTTGGTGGGATTTGGGGGTTTTTTCCTCTCCCTGTTCTGCTCAGCCAAAGCACTGAGGAGGGCCGGCAGAACAAACACTCAGCTGTGTGATGGAGGTGCCCCTCCATCAGGGCAACTTCCTATTTTTCTTGCTATAATTCCATGGAAAAAGCTTTCGGAGAAGGGAATAGACCGTGGTAGGTGGTGCTGACGGAGTTCAAGGGAGCTGAACCCCCCCTTCCCTCCTGAGCTGCTCTCTGTGTTTGCCAAGGCTACCAACCCGCACGTAATTATTTACATTCTCTGCTTCTCTTTTTGGGTGGGAGGGGGCAGTTGCCTAAGGTATGCAACAGCAATTTGGGGAGCCGATCTCATCTTGCGTGCATGGTTTTGGGAGATGATGACTATTACTAGGCTGTTCTGCAGTTAATTACACTGTAACTCAAGGCATTTTTTCCAGTATTATGGTAATGGCAGTTCCTCTCCTCCTGATCTCTTTTAAACATTTCTCCTGTTTCTAAGAACTGCTCCAAGCAGGAAGCTACCGTGGACCTGAATAACTGAAGCAATATTATCTATGATAATATGTACCTCTGTCATTTTCTGTTCCAATGGATTTTTTTTTTTTTTTTGCAATAAACATCACACTACTAGCAATAACATTTCCTGGAGTGCTTGAAGGGACATAAAAGCTGGTCCAGTAAACTGAGCAGTTGGTTATTCCAGCCTGTCCTGGTTACACGGTTCAAACAAAGCGTCTGTCATCTGTCTCTCACTCAGACATTAAAGAAAAATAACACTACCCTGCGATGCACTGGTGGGCCAGGACACTGCGATCGGCGCCCGGGGGTGTGTGTCGCCTGCGGCTCTTCTTCTAGTCTCGGGTTTCAGGCAGAAAAGGGAAAAAGAAAACCTGCTGTCCCTCGCCCAGGGTATGCACATCCCCTGACAAAACTCGACAGTGACTGCGAGACGGTTTTGCAGAGCTGTGTTTCTTGCCGTGGTGCCCCCACACAGTGTTGTAATCGTCTGACAAACGAGATGAAATGGAGTAATTAAGGATTGTGATGAAATAGTTTGGCTTCTGCTCTCTACCTGGAGAAAGAGCTTGTCTGGTTATACATATGTGTGTGGTTTTTAAAGATTGTGTAGTAAAGGAAAAATTGATCCAATTAAAAGCGCATTGCAAACGACTCATTTTCTTATTAAAAACACTTCATCTCCTCCCTTTGGTGGCAGATTGGTTTTTACGGCCAGCGGGAATTAGACTTGGCAACACAACGGCTACGAGACCCCTTTTATGCCGTCAGGATGCGGAGGATAAATCTGATCTCCTTGGCAGGTCTCATGTAACTTTATCTGACACTTCCCTACCCACCTCATAAACAAATACTAGAGTTTCATACCTTAATTCATGCCGATACTCCCACAAGGGCAATATCTTATGTTTCACCGTAGCCAATACCTGATGTTTTAAAGGTCTGGTCGAAATTCACTGGCACCGAGCGCTCGGGAAGGGGATGCAGAAGCCTGGCTGCAGGCTTCAGCACCCACCTCCCCGGCTTGTCGAGGGGCTTTCTGGCTCAGCTCTGCCCCGCTGTCGAGGTGACATATTCGCCTGGGCTGGTAGGAGTGCTGCTGTGAGGGTTCAGCTATTATTCTGGATAATTTTAATAAATGCTGCCAAAACAAAAATGCATTACAAAGAGTGTATTTAGGTGGAGCCAAAGGAAAGCTGAGCATCAGCACGTGCAGGTCCTCCCCGGGTCCTGCTACCCCAGCTGGGTTTGCTGATCTGGGTGAAGGTTTTTATCACTTGGGCTCATCTCAGATGATATGAAACAGCTCTTGAAACAGATACGAGTTGCTGGTTTATCAAACACATATGATCCTTGCAGAACAACTGCCGCACCGGTGCTATTAGACTTACCCTGCCGTTTTATGAGAAGTTATGATTTCTTAGGGTAGCGGCAACTAAACCGCGAACGTTTGTTCTGGACAGCAACCGACAGCCAGGGTTTCTAAAGGGATGAGGCGGGAGAGCCTGTTTCTTAATCAAAGGGGGCAGAGCTACAAAAGTAAAAATAAAGCCAGATGCTTCGAGTCTTTTCTATTGTATAGCTTAAGTGATTTTTCTGGGTCATTACTCAATGCGAGGATTTAAAGTTATTTCATTTTGCACAACTAATTACTCTACTTGCCTGGCAATTTTGGATTACAATGAGCAGTGCATAAGGTCATTTAGCAGACTGAGTCACAGCACATATTTCAGTCTAAACTAAATTTCACGGCAACCAGCTAGACTGTTTTTTCCTCCTCCGAACAAAATGTCAAAATCTGGGGTTTTGAAATAAATATAATGCCATACACCACAAGCAGTAAGTGTGTTAGAAAGGTAATAGAGTGGTTATTTATAGGAACAGATCTCAAGGACAGGGAAATTCTATATGCTTTAGTTCTGACCAAGCAGGTATAAGGGAAAGCCATCATCTCCTTTAATAGATGCAAAGCTTGCCTTACAGCTTTCTTAATGCACCTGATTGTGTCTGGGAAATGAAAACTAAAGGTTCCCGTGGACTAGTTCGATCTTAATTGTGTTGTGGCAGTACCAGACCTGAAGGGAGATGAATGAGACCTTGAGAGGACAGAGGGGATCCACAGACCCTACGCGGAGGAATACGGACTGCTATTTTAGCAGAGCTCGAGGCTGTATGCTTGAAGTGGCTTGTATTTTATGAAGACTTTTGTCTAAACTGCTGAGTTCACAAGAAAGCATGAAAACTGTAACCTCTTAAAGGTAAATACAACCGATGACGTATGGTCCAAGAGAAGAGAAGCAAAGTACTGGGGAGGCGGGTGGGTGGAAAGCCTTAGGGAGTGTGACAGGACCTGTCAGGGCACAGCCCCTCCGTGGACCATTTTAATGCAAGAGGGAACATCTTTCACACCTGCAGCAGCCGCTTTCAGAGCTCAGCTTGCTGAGCACCCAGCGTGGCCAGGTAACCTCAGCCAAGGAAACTCTAGAGATCATGGGAAATGCAAGAAAAACAAACATTTCACCCACTGCAGACATAAAGAGCTACCACAGCCCAACACTTGGGTAGTGAAACCCCCTGAATCTCTTCCACCCTTGTACGTCAGCACCTCTCCCCGCTCCCCCCAGCCATGCGTCTCCCAGGTCCGCGGTGGCAAGGGAGAGCAGCTCCCGCAAGTCCGCCCGCTCCTCGGCGGCAGCACGCCACCGACACACCGTTTCTTTTTCCAGCTTTTCCCAGCTGGAGAACAGGAGTCTCCCACGCTGAGGCTCAGCTAGTCTGCACCGCGAGAAGGAAAAGAGTTGTCACTCAAATGCTTG